GGCTGTCACTCAATACGCGTTTAGCATTCCGATTCAAGGGCGCCCGAGAGGGCCGAACCTCGACTTGATCGGTTGCTGCTATCTGATCATAACCGTAGACGGCACAGTCCGTCAGGAACTAAGTGTGACGAGACGATTCACTTAATATCGTGTAATAAAATAACACGGTCCCGCCACAACGCCATCTGTTATAGTGCGGCAGAAACGGCGTCAACAGTACCTATTACAAGTATCTTGTGATAAAACTTGGCGAGTATAAACCAGGGTGCACAATCTCAGTACATTTAACTTGGAAACCCGAAGATAAAATATTGCAATATAACGGAGCACCTTAAATCTATTTTGATGATAAGAAACAGACTAATTTTGTTTTTAGTAGTATTATATTTGTTATATATGCCAACGCGCAGTAGCAGATGGCAGTTTTACAAATAAAAAATTACTAGTTCAATTAATATACGATAGATGCCGCTATTTAGTAGCTCTTCTTGTAGTGTTTTTATTAGTGTATTTGTTGAATGAAACCTTTTTTCAACTCTGATTTACTTTTTTTTAATTGTCACTTGTAATTCGATGTCAGTTCAATAAGTAAAATGTCTATTACATTTATTTATTTTAAAGTACTCTGTATTATCGTTTAATTGAAAATACTCAACAGTATTTAGGTAGGTGCAGTCCTGGTTGTAAAGAAAGAGGAGGAATGTCTGTTTCTATGTCTACTTACTTCAGAACATTACAGACTTTTATATAACATTGTCTCTATCCAGCAGTAAGACGTCTCCTCTCGTATATTGAGAATTTACAGCTATAGTCCACATCTATGGCCTAGTGCCTCTGTACATTGCCGGACTACTTAAGTATTTGTTTGTAGTGTTTTGTCTTTAACATGTATTTGGTTCTTTCTCAACCATATTTATAGCAGTAAAGCAAAAGTAGTAAATTGTTACACTAATCTCTCTTAGACTTTTTTTGTATATTAAAGCATGCTTTTAATGAGTGCAATAATACTAAATAAGATGTAACCAGTAGGAATGTGGGAAAATTTTATTTGGGCCATTAGTCTCAGATTTTAAATGTTATTGCCATATGGTATTACGGTTTTAGTCACTAGCCTTATTATTTTTTGTTAAAATAACAGATTATTATTTTAAGGTATGCATCAAGTACTACAACTTGTACAACTGATGTCACTGATGTTTATGTATGATTTCTCATCTCAATACGTACCGCGTAACACCATAGGATATATGAAATATGAGATTGTATAAAATGTGATTGTTAATACTTATAATATACTTGTTAACTATGTAAAGACAGTGTTTCAATAGCCCTACACCTCCAGAGCTCGGGACGGCAGAAAGTAACCGTCCAACAGTATCCTTTGTTTTTACTTCCTAATTGGTATAATGCACTTGTTTGTCTCCTACGTAACCTTGTCCAAAAATTGGACGACTCGACCAAAACGACAAAAGACTTTTACAACGCAACGACAATACTAAACCAACAAACGCAACGACAATGACAACCACCAAAAACACCTGCGAACCGCAGGAAGTATATGTGTAGCGAGACATCAGACTAAACATCGCGATACAGTAAAATAATGTCTCGCTACAGCGCCATCTGTTAGGGTGCGGCAGAAACGGCGCAAACAGCACTATTTGGGTGGATATATAAATCTTTTCATTTACAACAGGTATAATATAGGTTGTTTTGTTTCCTACGTAACCGTGTCCGAAATTTGGACAACTCGACCAACGCAACGAAAGAACCGAAAACTACAAAACAACAACCACAATGAAAACGCAAAGAACAACAACCAAAACACCAAAGAGCCCGCGACCAGCGGGAGACCTGGCCTGTGGCGAGACGTTAGTAATATCGTGCTTTAAGATTAGACGATCTCGCCACAGCGCCATCTATTAGGGCGGAGCAGAAACGACGCCAACATTCCGCCCACCAAGAACTCTGTTCTTCACCGCCCACCATGGTATATTAATGTCAACCCTTCCAGATTGTGTCTTCTCTTTCTTTTGATTACGCTCCCACCCCCGGTGTCGTAACTCCCGCAGTTGTGTGTTGTCAGCATTTACAACTCGGGTATATGATCTTCCGGAGGGGGTCGCTGTTGCATTTCCAGATAGAACCCAACCCAATTTCGTTTTTTGTGCAATAGTTCCTGTCGAACTCCTCAACAAACCGTGATCTATTACATTTGAATAAACTTCAGCCCCAAGTAACATATCTATTTTATTAGGCACGTTGAATGTTGGATCTGCTAAGGCGATGGTATGTAGTTCCGACCAGTCCGTGATGGTACATATTTGTGAAGGTAGGTTGTTCGTTATACTCTTCAAGACATATGCTTTTACGGACATCGTGAAGTGTGGATCAACTCTTGAGCGTAATCTTAACTCGACTACGTTTTTCATACGTAATCCGCTCTCTTCACCGAGTCCGATGACCTCATCGTTGATTTTAAATCGCTTCAGACCTGAGGACTTAACAAAGTCCTCAGTTACGAACGAGGCCTGTGAACCCTGGTCTAGCAAGGCACGGTAGACGTGTGTTTGGCCATTCTCCTGAGAGACATCTACCAGTGCTGTAGCCAACAGTACTTGACCAGGTTCATGTTTTATAAAATGTGTGGTAATATTTTTACTCTCATGGGTGTGTGTATTCTCTCTCTGCTGCTGTTCTTCCGTAATTGTTTTCCTGGGATGAAGTAACGAGTGATGCTTTCTTTTACAAATATTGCAACATGAGTTTCTTAAACATTTCTTAGCAGAGTGGTTGGGAATTAAACAGTTAAAGCATAAATTGTTTTCTTTTACAAACTCAATTCTTGTTTCATGGGGTTGCCTGACAAACTGTTTGCACTGGAAAATATAGTGATCGCCATCACAAAACGTGCATTTCACTGAAGATGAAGCAACTGTCGAATGAAATGCCTTTGTTTTAATTGGGCGAGTATGGTTTTCTACCATCTCTAACGACTTGAATCGCATTTCGAGAAAATGAGTCAAAACTTCGAAGCTCGGCATCTCAGTAGCATCTGCAGATATATGGTGTTCCCATAACTGGTGACTAGTCGGATCTAATTTTGAAACGATTAAATATACGATAATGTCATCCCATGTATCTGAATTAATGCCAATATTTTTTAAAGAATTAAGACATTCTAATGTGGTATACAATAATTGTTTGACAAGGTGTGCTGATTCTTGAGCAAGTGTTTTAAGTCCAAACAATTTTTTGAATATGCTGTTAGCAATATATCTTTTGTTATTAAATCTTTTTTGTAACGTTTCCCAGGCTTTGGTGTAGTTGTCATTTGTAACTGGTATATTCCTCAATAACTGTTCTGCCTCCTCAGCTACAAGAGACTTTAAATAATGTAGTTTCTGGACATCATCTAAAGTAGTATTTTTATGTATCACAGATGTAAATAAATCCCGAAACGATGGCCAGTCGGTATAATTACCCGAAAATGTGGGTATCTGTATCGCAGGTAACTTAATTTCTGTATTTGTACTAGTTCTGCTCGGGCTAAGTGTATTATTTAATGACAATTTATTCAATTCACCTAACTTTTCTTTTAAAGATGTCTTATAATTAACATAAATTTCTTCCAATTGCTCAAAAATATCTAAACTAAAATATTCAATGGTGCGTTTTTGTTCGCGAGGAATGAACGATAATATTTCTTCGTGTACCGCGGTGAACGAAGAGTACAACCTTTCTAAAGATTCCAAGCGTGTTTCGACATAACTTGGTGTTATCTGGGATTCTGGTGTATTAAGATATTTTGTTTGAGCCTTTTGTATCCGCTCAAACCTATCCTCTTGAAGATTAATTAAACTTTGGACTTGTTCCATGTTAAAGAACCAAATTTATGTATAAAAAACAAAGAGGATACAAGTTAATAACTGTGCCGTCATCAAGCAGACCAACGGACACTACCCAATTAACAAACACAAGTTTGTTTTGTAAATATTTTAAATTTCAAATATTCGACTAAACACAAACACAAACCCAACTTAAATAGTCGAATATTTTAAGCTTAACGCAACAATACACTCAGACCGAAATATTCGGCAATCGAAGGACCATGTTTTGTTCCCTACGTAACCGTGTCCGAAATTTGGACGACTCGACCAACGCAACGAAAGAACAACCGAAAACTACAAAACAACAACCACAATGAAAACGCAAAGAACAGCAACCAAAACACCAAAGAGCCCGCGACCAGCGGGAG